GCAGCGGGAGACGCCTCCCAACCCATGCGGGGCTACTCACATATTGACGGGGCTCTCGGCGGCCAGTGCGACGGCCGAGTCCAGGTGGACCTTGCAGGCCCGGCCGTGCACCTGGAGAAACTGGGCTGGGTCCTTTTTCTGGGAGGAGCAAAAATCCCCAGGGTTAGCAGGAGGCAGGGGGAAAAGAATAAAAACCCCAAGGGTTAGAAAAGAGGGAGCAGGAGCCCCGAGGTTTGGGGAAAAGGGGGAGCCCTGAACCTCCAGTGCTGGGGAAAAGGGGGAGCAGGAGCCCGAGGGAAAAGGGGGAGCGGAAGCCCTGTGGGGAAAAGGGGGAGCTCCGAGTCTCATGGAAAAGGGGGAGCGGGAGCCCCAAGGAAAAAGGTCCAAAAAAGGGAAAAAAAAAGGAAGGAGGAAGAGTCCGCCTCCAAAAAAGTATAAAAAAAAAGAAGGGGGAAGAGGCCGCCTCCAAAAAAGGGAAAAAAAAAGGAAGGAGGAAGAGTCCGCCTCCAAAAAAGTATAAAAAAAAAGAAGGGGGAAGAGGCCGCCTCCAAAAAAGGGAAAAAAAAAGGAAGGAGGAAGAGTCCGCCTCCAAAAAAGTATAAAAAAAAAGGGGGGGCCCCAAGACTCCAGTGCTCAGGAAAAGGGGAGTGGGAGCCTGAAGATTTGGGGAACCCCGAGCCTTTGGGGAAAAGGGGGAGCCCCTGAGCCTGAAGACTCAGGGAAAAGGGGGAGCCCCAAGCCTCCAGTGCTTGTAGAAAAGGGGGAGCTGGAGCCCTGGAGGGAAAAGGGGGAGCCCTGAGCCTGAAGACTTGGGGAAAAGGGGGAGCCCCAGAGCCTTTGGGGAAAAGGGGGGAGCCCCAAGCTTCCAGCACTGGAGAAAAGGGGGAATTGGGAGCGTGAAGCCTCAGAGAAAAGGGGGAGCCCTGAGCCTCGGTAAAAAGGGGGAGCAGGAGCCCCAAGTTGCAGGGAAAAGGGGAACCCTTGAGACTCAAGAGAAGAGGGGGAGCACAAATAGGGGCGGTTTTGCCTGCGTGGATTTAGGGCGCCCACCCACGAACACCTCTGCGGGGTCCCCAGGGAGAGCAGCCAGCAGCGAGCGTCGCAGCTCCCTTCTCCACACCTCTTCCAACCCAAAACGAGCCGCGAAGCACCCAGGCAGCTCCCAAATCCCCCAGGCGCGTCCCAAATCAAGCCCCATCGAGGGGACGAGGCCGGGGGACGCCGCTGTCCCCATGGAGGGGGGGACGAGGCTGGGAGGGACGAGGCTGGG